TAGTGACCATGCTTGGAGAATAATCACCCAATATTGTTCACTACAGTTCGATGGTCGAGATAACACATTGCCGTTGATTACATGCTGTATAACATCTTGATCATTCGAAATATTCGACCAGGGTATTGTACCTCGAGAATATGCTTTCCACATGAGTACACCCATTGAATAGGTGCCCGATTTTTCAGAATAAGCATTCGTTGCATTGTTTGATAGAAATATTTCAGGGGCAGCATATCGGGTAGGAATAACATTTGATGTTGGCTGTGCAAAATCCGGTGTGAATGAATCAAACTGGTTATATTGACTAAAACCAAAATCAGATAGTTTGACAAGAGTATTTTTCGGATTTGTTGCATCGAAATGAAATACAAGTATATTTCGGCATGCTAAATCACCATGGACGACATTGTTCAAAGTCAAATAGATCATTGCATCAATAATCTGTAAAAATATTGCAAGAAGAATTTTTTCATCGAAATGTATGCTTCGTTCTTGTAATAGTTCATATAAACTGCCTAACGAGGCATATTCTTGTAACAACATGATGGAGTTCTGAAAATGATGACGACTGCCATCCAGCACGAAACCAAACGTTCGAACAATATTGTCATGATGACTTAGACGAGTATAGAATGATGCCTCTTTTCTCGCCCGAATACCATCGATTTGTAAAAGAACTATGTCTGTTCGTTTGAAATTGGTTGTTAACCATTCAGCAGCATGAATTGTTTTTTCATGGGTTTGAAATAATGGTCGTCCATTCTTTTTTTTTACATCAACATCAAGTACAAATTCATAATCTTCATTTACTTTTGATATTTCCAACTGATTAGCTAATCGTTTTCTTGCATCATTTTGATTTAATTGTTGCAGAGATATGATTTGTTGTATGAGTGAACTTGTATCATCTCCTCGAACCCAATTTTCAATGGCTTTGTCCTTATACACGTGACTTTCTTGCGTTTGGCTCGGATCGAAAAATGGTTCCATAATTATTGCATAGGATGATTATTCATTTGAAATGGTCAAGTACCTGAATAAATTGATTATAAAATTTAAATAAAAAATTATCATTTGAGCTCTATGCAAAAGCTAAGTATGAAGTTCTGTCATAATCACTCTTTTCTTAATGTTTCACTGCAAAATTTTGTCTGGTATCTTACAAACAATTGTTCGAACTCGGATAATAAATCACTCAATGGATTCATTAAAAAATAATTTTCCTCTACATGGTATCAAGAGAGAATGAGAAAGAAGAAAAGACCTTCGCAACTCTAGAACAATTCTCAGCCAAAAATTAGAGATCGGTTTGATAAGTATGTAGAAAAAGTACATCATAAATGAGAGATGTGATGTTTCTCGTCTATTTATTTAACAAGAAATGTGTCTTCTTCAGTCTTGAAATACTAACATAACGTCGGTTTTTTCCTTTCTAATCAGAAAGAAAGTAACAAGTGCAATAGTAAAAAGACAAGACAGATATTTCAAGATGATTCAATATTGGAAATTCCCATACAAATAGCTGGTCATGACAATTTACCTACGAATGTTTTAATGATATTGATACTTCTTGATTGATGGCATGATAAGAATAAAAAATCGATCTATTCATTGATCAAAGCAAACCATCAGGTTGTGTGTATCTTTTCTATTTCATTCTTGCGTTCTTCGTTTTCTCAAATGTCACACATGGCTTCATGATGAAGACATAAATATTGCTTCATTTTGCTTCAGATAATACTCTCTTCCTAATTCACGTATTATTCTATTTATTCATGTCAACATACTTTAGAGAGTTACACTTGACGTCATTTGATGACATTTCAAGGGCAAATGGCTGACTCTCGATGCAAAAAAATATCAGTTCATACACTCATATCGTTGCCTATTCATCGAGTTCATCCACACCACACACTCATTCAAAAACGGTCAGCATTCTGAATATTGGTCAATGGTATTGTGTTAACGGCTATATCATGATTAGTTTAAACTATTTGATCTTCCAATATTATCTCTGTACAGAATGTGTACTGAAAGCTGATATTCTTTTGCCAAAAACATTCTTTTTGAAATAAATCTAACTTTTCAATTGCCTACATCGTGAAGAGAAAAAGAAGAAAAGAAAGATAAGATATTCCGCTGTAGTCTAATGCTATGACCTCCAACTGTAAAGGGAAATTGATCACACAGATCGGATAATCTCGGTTCGATTCCAAGCTGCCAGATATGCTTTCTACTTTTATTGAGTAATTTTGTTTTGCGTTCTGGTTACTTTGATAGACTTCACGATGCAAGCGTTTGTAATTTTTGTCTTCNTACATCGTGAAGAGAAAAAGAAGAAAAGAAAGATAAGATATTCCGCTGTAGTCTAATGCTATGACCTCCAACTGTAAAGGGAAATTGATCACACAGATCGGATAATCTCGGTTCGATTCCAAGCTGCCAGATATGCTTTCTACTTTTATTGAGTAATTTTGTTTTGCGTTCTGGTTACTTTGATAGACTTCACGATGCAAGCGTTTGTAATTTTTGTCTTCATAGATTTGAGTACTTGTGTTTCTTTACTGCTTGTGGGTATGGGTATGATTGTGAAGATGCCGAAGATTCACATCTGCATCCACACCAACACCCAAAGAGAGGTCGCTCACTCATTCATCTATTCTTATCCCGCAAGATTACGCTGAACATTTTTTACGGCTCCATGACGGTATATTTGTTATTTTTAGTCTTGAGCTCTTGCAATATGTTCGTTTCGTTCGATTCTACTTTCCTTTTCTTGTGATAATTTGTCGTATGTATTTCTAGGTAGGGAACACGTGCTTATGTGTGATTCTTTACCGGTTGAAACAAATCGTTTATCCACAAATTGCTTGAAAAAAAAATACGGAAAGACTAAATTGAATACATAAAACCTTGAAAGTAATGAGTGTCTTATCAAGAATGAGCCTCTGAGTAATTTAGTAATATTCCTACCAGATTCCATTGCTTGATATTGATATTTAAAAAAAACAATATCCATTCAATTCTCAGGAAAATCATATGAATCGAACTCATTCAAAACGCAAGTGTAAAACCATATGTGAGCAACATACGTATTCTTCAAGAAGACTTGCTAAGAAGCATTTTGATTTTCTTCAGTTTTATACATCCTTTCTCCACATGTAGCAAGGCTAAGTACACCATTTTGTGGCCTTTCGAAAACTCTACCAGCTCAATGACAACTGACACAGATCTTTAATTTGAAGTTCTTATGAGTATGACCTTTGTTGTTTCTTTCATATTTGATTTTTTGTGACTGACTATTGGAATTTACCACAACTCTTGCGTATTTTAGTCAAGATATAACAATTAGTGTCGAATATTTTAAATTCAATTAGAAAAACAATCATTTCTTGATCGTGCTAGACGGCTCAATTGATGTGAAATTATCTTTGTCGCATGTAAGAGACGTGAGGATAGACAATTTTCAATTATTTCAATTCATTTTCAATAGAAATTGCTTCTAGTACCTCATGATTTTAGTCTAGCGGCGTAGCTATGAGTGTGAGTGTTGGTATGGATGTAGTGTGTAGATGTGAATGTAGGCGTGTGTGTGAGGATGTGGATGCGGGCATATTCTTTATCGATACCCACACCATCACTCAATCCTCCTGCTAATTGTAGAAGAATGACCTTACTGTATTTATAAGATTTCTATGGTTAGACGGTACTAATAATCATTAAAGTTTTAAGCATGATTATTACTGATAGCATGAGAATTAATTATTGAGACTACCGAAATGCATTACGCTATTTTTTTAATACTCAATTGGTTTCTGTATGAATAATTCCAAGCAAAGTAATTCTTGAGATCATCAATGTTTCTTCTAGATTTTGCTATAATTGTTAAGCTAGAAACAATAGATGGAGTACTGTGTAGCTCGTTTAAACACTCAACTTGTTATTAATAAGAAAAATTGCACAGTAAATTCAACCATTTGACTACAATATGAATTAGATATTTTGAGCAAAGTTTTTTTTTTTTTGTTGAACAAGATCTATTTTCACTTTAAAAATAGTTCATTTATGGTCATTGTAAATTGCTTTCAATAAGCATACCATAATAAGCTCCACGCCGTTGCATCAATTCTGCATGAGTACCACTTTCCACAATATGTCCTTGATCAAGTACACAAATCAAATCACATGAGCGAATCGTTGATAGACGATGAGCAACGATGAGCGATGTTGTATTAAAATTTTCTGTTTGAACTTGTTCAAGAGCTTCTTGTACAATCTGTAAGTGAAAAATCAAATTATGAAGTATTAGTTGATGAATATAAAAAAGAAAAAAACTTTTTCATTGAATGAGTCCATGGCACTTGTAGCTTCATCTAAGAGCAATACTTTCGGTCGCCGAAGAAGAACACGAGCAATAGCGATTCGTTGTTTTTCACCACCTGAAAGAAAACTACCTTTCCATCCGACCCTTGTTTCATAACCCTAAAAAGAATCATACGATTCTAATAGATAAATAAAATAATTTTGCATTGTTTAACCTGAGGTAATTGATCAATAAATTCATGAATATTAGCTCTATTTGCTGCATTCATAATGTCTTCCATGGAAACATTTTCTAAGCCATAAGCAATATTTTCAGCAATGGTTAAATCGAATAAAATCGGTTCTTGACTGACAAGACCAAAAGTAGAACGAACCCAATGAAGATTTAGTTGTCGAATGTCTGTGCCATCGAGAAGCTAGATTGAATTGACAAAATTTGTATAATTACTTCAATTGCATGTCGAAGAAATACTAACTAGTTGGTCACTTGTTACATCATAAAATCGTTCCAAAAGTTGAATAATTGTTGATTTTCCACATCCGGATGCTCCTATACAGATTATCGTAAATATGTAAGATTTTGAAAGAAACATTTAATTCTAACATACCAACAAGAGCTACACGTTGACCTAATTAGGGATTAAAAACTTTTATAAAAACCGTTAAATCAAAACTCATTTCACTTACGTGGCTTGATATTCAATTCAAATCGCTTAAGAATTACAGAAGTTGGTCGACTAGGATAAATAAATTTGACTTGATCAAATTTTATATCACCACGAAAGTCAATCTATACAAATCATATTATATCCATGAAATTCGTATGATTGAGAGAAAATAATTATTTTCGATGTTCTCTCACCAATTCTCGTCCTTCAATAGACGCATTATCAATAGTTGGTATTCAATCAAATAAATCAAAAAAATCTTCAGCACCCGAGACTGAAGAACCGATGCGGCTAACTCTAAAATGTAGATTGTAGTAGAAAACAAGAAAAATAGGGATTGAGAGCGTTACATAATTGGAATAATTCTCATTAATCCGATCGAAAACAGAACAAAAGAAACGACCCTAAAAATTCAAAACATAATTAAGCATTGCCTGCGGATTATCATAATATTGTTTGCATTACGTAACAATACGATTCAACGAGAGTTCGTTCTTTTCAAAGAGGACTAGAGCACGCCAAAACAGAAATGCCGTGGTATGTACATCTACTGACAAGGATATGCCATATGGAATTGAATTTAGCATCAATGATTTCCAAGACAGCCTGTGAAGGAGAAAATTGCATTAAGAATTTAAGCATGCATAATATTTGTGTGACTAACATAAATATTTGATGAATTAGTTCAGAATATTGTCGAAGAACCTCCTTTTCGACTGACAGTTGTTTTATGATACGTAAATTATGAATAACTTCAGCAGCTAGCTACACAAGTAAAAGACATCATGAGTGTACTAGATGCGGTTTAGCAAACAATTGACGAAATTTTAGCTTTTCCTACATAAAAAAATTATTAGCTAGAATTCATTCTTACCGTGCTTGCTCGTTCGACAATCGGTTTCGATTGTTGAGTCAACCATAGATCTACTCTAATATTCACATATCCGACTATGAAAACGATAGTAAAGGAGCCGAAAATAATCAAAGTTAGTTGCCAACTTATAAGACACCCCACTACAACTCCGACTAATGTCAGTGCAATAGCTTCAAAGATGACTCCTAATCGTGTACCAGTCATCTCTTGAATGGCTGATGCATCAGAAGAAAGACGATTACATATCGCACCAGAACTGTTTTCAGGTCGATCGAAATAAGCGACTTCTTGACGAAGAAGGCATGCGAAAGCTTTCGAACGAATACGTTGCGTTAATGCCGATCCTGATGTGGCAAAAGCTGTATACTATAATAAAAGAGCAAATAAATCATAGATTAATTTGAGAACCAATAATTTTTACTTGAAAGAAACGAAAGATCATTAAGAGAGCACCCAAAAGGAAAAAAAGTAAACACACAGTCGATACGTGACGATTTCTTTCAGAATTTGAACAAAACTTGAATGCCTGTAAAAAGAATTAATCAGCATGAATGTGTCGATCGTTTTGAACTATATTTATATGGATTTATCACGTACATCGATCACTTTGAAAACTATAAGTGCAGACATAGGCTGAGCCGCTCCACTAAGTATACATGCTATACAACCAATCAACGTGATGATCCATTCAGGCCTGCTCAGTGATAAGAGTCTTAAAAATACAGATCTTTGTCGTACTGCCTTTGAACTTTGCTAAAAAAAGAGATCATCAGTAATGATCTTTACAAATAATTGCAATAGCATTTCTACTTTTTTCGCATCAACAATATGAGCATCACTAAGCAAACGAATGCGTTCAACTATTCAATAAAAAAGAACAAGAAAAATGAAGATCATTACGATGATCATATCAACAGACTTATTGATTCTTGTTCTCTTTCTGTCACTGTTTGCATGCTCATCAAATCATCTTTGTCATAATCGATTCTTTCAATTTGTTGACGTTTGATCATTGCTTGATATTTGCCTCCTTCTTTTGCCATCAATATTTCATGTGTGCCCCGCTCAATTACATTTCCATTATCCAATATATATATTTGATCAGCATTTTGAATGGTAGTCAAACGATGAGCAATAATAATAGTTGTACAACCTATACGAAGTGTTATATTTATTAATATTACAAGCAGAAAAATCATCGTTACCTTTGCATGCTCGATCAATCGCTCCTTGAACAATTTTCTCGCTAACATTATCGAGTGCACTTGTTAGTTCATCCAGTAATAGGAATGTAGGCTGTTTGACAAGAGCACGAGCTAATGCAATACGCTGTTTTTCACCTCCACTCAACTGTATACCACGTTCACCAACAAGTGTTTCGTATTTCTAAATGCAAAATAGTAATACAAGTGTCATGAATAAAGGTGAAACTTCAGAACAAACATTTGGTAATTGCATTATGAAATCATGCGCATTCGCTTCTCGTGCTGCTTGTTCGATTTCTGCTTGTGTTGCATCTACTTTACCAAAAACGAATATTTTCATAAATACTCGTACTAAATAGCACCTGTTATAGTGATTAATTAAAAAGAAATGAAGAAAAGAAAAACGAAAAGAAAGCGTACAGGCTCTTGACTGACAACTCCAATTTTTTGTCTTAGTTGTTTGACATTATAATTGGCTATCGGCTGACCATCGATTTTTATTCTACCCGATGACGGTTCATAATAACGAAGAAAAAGTGATATACAAGTACTTTTTCCTATGGATAAATGATGAGCAGAAATAAAATCTTTTGAGTATACTTATTTTCGAAAAGACTTACCACAGCCGCTTGGGCCTATGAGAGCAGTCGTCTGACCAGCACGAGCAATAAGAGAGAGATTTTGCAGAACTGATGTATCTTTTCGAGATGGATAAATAAAACTGACATTTTCGAACTCAATATCACCATTAATATTATAAATCACTTCTGTATCCTCATTCCATACATCTTTTTCATTGATGCTTGGGTCATCTCCCTATGTCATGTAACAAAATAGATAACATTGCGACTGATATGAGACATAAATTTATTCGGATCTACCTCATTAATAAGTCCAAGCACTGGTCCCGCTGCTCCTCGAGCTTCTGAAAAGGATTTAAAGAAAGAAGAAACCAAACCGAGAAGAACTACACTTTGTCCAAAGATGGGGACGACCTGCATTAAGATAACAGCTCAATATTTATTTACTGTTTGATTGATGATACAAATTACTCACTGCAAAAATAGTACTAATATTCATCATATGATCATTTTTGTCTAAAGTAAAAAGAGAACCAAAGATAAAACCAACTCCATAAACTAGGTAGGTTATCAGAGATAGCCATCCATTAAAAATTGCAAACACCACACCTTGACGTATATTACACCAACGAGTTGAATGCAATTGTTTTTCATATCTGAACACAAGAAACATAACAGAATGTTTTTATCATGCTATCGAAGTAAACTGCCTCTAGGTACGCTCCTACCGTTTTTGTTCAAATTTGCTACCATTTAGAGAATGAACAGTTCTTAGTGAACTAAACACTTCTTGAACGATTTGTCCTGCTTTTGAGTATGTTCTTAACTCATTCATTGCTTCATTAGCAGTGACCTGTAAAAGATCATACTGGTGTAATCTATTTGAAAATATTTTATACCTTAGAAAACACAAATATACTACCAGCAACCAAAATTGGCAAACATAGCATAATCAAAGTCAATCTCCAGCTGAGAACGAAAGATAATATTAACCAACCTATGAAGACGAATAATTGTGAAATAAGCATCAATAAGTCATAACCGATGCCTTTCTCGATCTTTGCAATGCTACTGTACACGAATTGGATGACATACAATGAATCGATATAACATAACATATTATCTTACTCAAATAGTCTAGCATTGAGTTCACTAGCCGGTTTGATATCCATGTAAGAAATGCTCTAAAAATAAAAAGAGATACAATACAGAGAGAAATAGTCAGATTTGGACAAATTTTAATCCATCTAAATTTTCTGAATTTCCAACCAATTTCAACTTTAGAGTTTTGAAAATTCTACTGTCACTCTCTAGTTATAAGTCATGTTAAACTGAATTCTTCGTTCTAAAAGTTAAATCATTTTGCATTTGTTCTGTCAACCTTACTTTTACTTTTAGCTTGTTTATCGTCATTTGACAAGTTCAACAGATGTTTAATATTGATTGAGCAAAATTGTATCATTTCGATAACCGCTAGGAGTATGACTTAAAGCGAAAGAAACTCCATCCACACTGCACTTAACAAATATAAAGTTTCATCGAAATTAGAATCGAACGAAGCAAACTTTCCTCATGTAGTGTTTCGATTTCAGTGATTTTTAGCCTATAGACAATACATAGTATTCTAGTGAAACCCATAAAAAGATTTCAGGTCACGCTGAAATCTAACAAAACGATAGAATTATTATTTGTCTATTATTTAAATGTAGAACCTGAGGTTTTGCGAAAACTCATGTTGTAAAATTTCGTCTTAAAACTATCTATATTGGAAGATTCGATCAGAAGTAGTTTATATGATGTGCTTCAAAGTTTGCAGACTTCGTAGTTCAGACAAAGGAATACTTCAGAAATGAACATTGTCCGAAGCTTATTGAAGAACACAAGAATATATCAAAAAGTTCCTATCTCTTAGATACGAAACCTGAAAAATGTGAAGCTCTTCATAGGAGCTACTGATTATGGAATCTTCCAATGGAGATATTTCCACGAGAAAATTTAAAAGAATGAGTTTTTTGTAAACCTGGGATCTCAGAAGAGTCTCTGACAAATATATAGTATGTATGGGCAAAAAGCCATTGAAATCAGAACGGGACACCGAAAAAAATCATCTCTTCAGATAACTCGATTCCATCCCAACTACTGTAGATAAAAATGGCAACTCCACAATGAAATCTAGCTTTGATTTGAAGTGACACATATCTGGAACCATTTTGACTTTTTCCATAGACGATAATTTTAGACATAAGAAAGTTAATTGTAATGACTACATAAATTCATCACTATTTCTTTGACCTGCTGTTACAATTTTATTACACAAGCTTCTCGTTTCCAAAATTATTTTTAGTCTTATTATTCAAAATTTATCAGTTATGAAGATGCTTATCTGGCTAATTGGAAAGCCATGATCAACTGAAGCCAATATTTGGTCGAAAAATAATAAGAATTCAGTATTACTCTATAAAAATTCAACACAACTACATTTCTATCGGCTTCTAAAGAATTGTAGCTTCTCAAAAGAGATACTTTTTAATTAAACATTCAGCTATTTTTAAAATATCTTCATGACTATTTAAAATGTGCCGCTTGTATAATAGTATATTAGATATTTAATTGAACAAGTTATTTTATTTAAGAGCCATTTCATTTAAGCCACGACCTTTTGATGCAGAGGCTGCTCAATCGATTTTTTTCAAATTTTGATTTCACATACATATCTCAAAAGTGCATCAATTAGTGAGTTTTTTGTCACCAACCGCACCTAGATAGCTCAAATCGCCACTGAGATATTCAATTTTTATTCTGAGATCCTTTTCCTTCAAGTGATGGTGCCAATTTCACTAGTGTCGACTGAGAAGCGCGGCATTTTCGATTGACGTGATGTAGAATAATGAAAATTTCAGGATAGACACATATTGAACTGCCCTATAAAATAAAATAACTCTGAGCTCTAGACGTCGCTTTATAGTTCGGTTACAGGGGTCGCTAGTGTCCAAAGCTCATCAAGCAATATCTACTGCGTAGCCAGTTCCTTAAGGCTGAAACTTTTAGAATAGATATTAGGATTGTGGGAATATATAATGATGAAAAGAAAACTTTGGGAAGTCGAACATAACCCGAGATATCGAATTTTTACGAAAATTTATCGTGTTTTCAGCTGGTTTTTGCACATTTTTGTCGTATTTTTCAACAAAAACTTGAAAAGAATATTATATTCGGAATCAGCATCGAAAACTGAGTTTAGCAGTATGTAATTCGTAAAAGAAAATTTTTGATCAAAAACTCACCTTAGGGGGGTAGAAGCAAAAATTTGATTGAAAGGAGCTGAGGGGGAGTAGGGGTAGCTTTTTGATAAAACTGTTTTTACAAATTGTTTATCATTTGACTCAGTTTTTATGCTGATTCCGAATGTGACATTGGTTTTTAGTTTTTGGTACAAAAATGCGAAGAAAATCTGTAAAGACCAGCAGAAAATGCATGAAATTTTCGTCAAAGTTCCATATATTCAATTGTGGTTGATTGCCCAAAGTTTTTTTATCATTGTATAGCTCCACAGTCCGAGTATCTACTGTAAACGTCTTAGCCTTTGGTAGCTGGTTACGCAACAGCTATAGACGAACGAATTTTCAATATTAGCGACACCTATAACTCAGTCATAGAGCGACATCTAGAGCTGGGATTAGTTTTATTTTGTAGGATAATTCAATGTGTATCTATTCTGAAATTTTCATGATTCTGCATCACGTTAATGAGAAATAGCATGCTTCTCAGTGGATACGGGTTGAATCGACATCGTCAGTGGACGGAAAAAGATATCATAATAAAAACTGAATATCTCAATGATGATTGGAGCTATTGGGGTGCGGTTGGTGGCAAAAAAATCACTAATCGAGGTACCTTTAGCATATGTAATTGAAATCGAAATTCAGAAAAATCGATTGAGCACCATAGGTCGTTGCTTAAGGGAAAGGACTCTTAACCAACTATATAAAATTTAATGTTTTGAAAGAATCATAGTAGGAATTGAAAATTTGCTGAGAACTATTTGAAAAAAAAATACATCGCTGTTAAATGACTTAAATAACTGTTCAAGTTATCTCTGTACTTCTATGCAGTTCTTTTTTTTGATTGGATAGTTAAAACAAATTTTATCTAAAAAACAGATTTCAGAAAAACAGTGAAAGAAAAATTTATCTCACGAGGGAACCACCCGAGGTGTCAAAAAGCTTTTGAGCTGAAATTTTGCCCACAAGTAGGGGATGCATAGACTAGAAAAAGCCTAAAAGGATATGGGCCCAAGTTGGGATTTGACTGAGATATCGAGTATTTACCATAATTTTCCTATATGATCCTACTTNGTTCAACCACTAAGAAACAGTTGTCAGAGCTCGTTACGATCTTCCGACAACATGTTGTTACGAACATCATGTATTTTCCTCATATTTCATTAACTTTTGCCATTCCGAAGACCCTGTCTTTTTTCTTAAGTTCGAAGATCGTAACGGACTACTTCAACCGGAGTTCGTAATAAACAGGTGAGACGAAGTGTCCATTTCCCTCTCTCGCTTGGACTATTTTACGCATAGACTCCGAAACTCAAAATCTATTAATAGAATTTTTCTAAATTCAATTAAAACTGTTACTAGAAGAATATATCGTTCATTTGAAAATAAAAATTAGAAATATTTTTCGCTTTCATTATAATTATATTGCAGATATCCGTAAAAATTGAACACACCTATTCTAGGTTGCGCTTTTTGTTTTTAACTCGAATATAGCATTTTTTATGGGCACGAATATCGGTGGTTACTTTTACATGATAATTTATGATTAAATATCAAAATAGTCAAGGGTAACTTTTGCATTCGTATAAAAACTATAAATTACACTGACACCCATGGTTACCTTGGTTCGAATTGTAAAGCATAACGAATAGTTATTTTGATGTTTATTTTAGCATGGAGGATTTTCATTTATTCGAATAATATCACGGAATCTTGTGTTGAATAGAGATGTAGGGGTAAAAAAAATTAAACATCTATTGGAACTGGTCACTATACTACCAACGACAAAATGGTTGCCAATCGTATTCATCAAGAATACTTCAATGGGTAGTCAACTGCAAGAAATATAAGGTTTCTAGAAGATTCTTTTCGTCTGTAGAACTTGTTCAGCTGATCATTTTGATATAAAAAGTACAAATTTACTCAATAAATCATGATCCTAGAACTTTGAATATTTTTTTTTTACCAAAATAATCAGTGCAACGAGTTCTACAGATGCAAAAATCAACAGAGAAGCTTGTTTTTTTTTTGCAGATGACTACCCATGGAAGTATACCGGCTAAAAATACGATTGAAACCCATTTGTCGTTGTTACATTGGTATTAGATAATGTTTATGTTGGTTTAAGCCAATCATCTCATAAATCGTACCTATCAAAACAAATTCAGAAGAAAAAAAAACCGAGAAAAATGACATTCGTCGTCTGATTTTAACTAAAAAAAACATCCCTTTAAGAACCAGAACTGGAATCAGACTAGAAAAATCCTTATTCTGGTACATTTAGCGATCGTCGGATCTAAATTCGAACCACACTCCTAATTTCCACGAAATTTTTTTATCTAAGTCTTCAAGTCGTGCCGAAGATTCGATATAGTTTTTTATCGATCATTTTTATCCTACTACTAACGCACTCTAGACATTTCTGACGTAATCTTGATGATGATCTTATAATACTAAAGTCATAATTTATTGTTATTTTTAGAATACAATCCTTTCGGTTGATCCGAGCGATGAGTTCTTGACAATTATGTAACGTTAAATCATATACAGAAAGGTAGAATGACAACTTAAGTAGATTTTCTGTTTACTTCTTGTGTTCATTGATTCCCTAATTAGATTAATGTAACTATATGTTTAAATTGATATGACGAATTGTTATTATTCAAATTAGTTAAAAAGAGTTGTTTTCATCAAAAAGAATAGATCTTTTCCTCTGAATAGAAAAAAAAATAATAATAAAAAGATTACTTTACATCGGATCAAATTACGAACATGAATCTTCACAGATTTTTTTTTTTTATCAAATATAAAAAGAGAATATAATCCCGTTAATATACCTCGATTATTTTTTAATATTCTATCATTAATTTCTTCTTGTGTTGATTGAGTATCTTCAATAATATCATTAGTTGATAATGAACTATTTGTTTGTTCTTGTGTTGCTTCATCTAAATTGTTTTTATTTATTTCTAATTAAAATATATAAAATGAATTTATTTTACCATAAACAATTTTCTCAACAAGTTCTTCAAGAATATCTTTAATAATTATTTGTTCTTCATCATAATCATTTATTATTACATTTATATTTTCTTTTTGTTTACGTTCATTAACTAAACTCTAAATAAATAAACATTCATTTATTTATTTTTAAAGATAAAATAATCTCAAACCATTTTTTGTTCCATTTTAGAAAAAATTCCATTAAGTATTTGTGAAAGAGAACCTTGTGCTGTTGCTTCATTAATTTTTGAACGACTTGTTAAATAAATATTAAAACATGTTTTAACTATTTGTAAAACACTACGTTGATGAATTTCAATTGTTTGAGATGTCATTATAGTTAAACAAATTTTAATTATTTGTAATTCAACTTTTTCTTGAGTTTGTATACCATGAAAACATGCACATATAACAGATACAATTCGATCTATTAATAATTTCGTTGAATCCGTTGGATCAATAATATTACCAATTAAATGACCATTTAAAAGAAGTTTCTAAAGAATAGATAAAAGAAGAAATTTCTTTTTTCTTTTGAAAATATTTACTTGAAGACAATCAAGTGAAGTATCAACCATTCGAGGATGATTTAATGCACAAGCTAATTCAAATGGAAGAAAATAAGTTTCATTGATATATGACACACTTAAAACAAATAAAAACAAAATTGATTTTAAATAAAATATTAACAAAAAACAAAAAAAAAAAAAAAATGAATTGAATTTACTCAGTAGTTTGAGGATCTTTAGTTACAGAAGCTAGAAAGAAAAAAATAAAGAATATATATATATTTTTATTGAATTATTAGAGAAGAAAACTGACCAAGAGCTGTTTCACATGCACGTTTTACTTGTTGGTATTGTGATTTTTTCATATCTTTTTCACTTAATAATTTTTCAAGAGCTCGTTTTAAGAACATATCATTATTATCCATATGTTTTACTGTAGATTTACCACTATCTTTAGGATTTTTTTGAGCCATTGAAATAATGCTAGAAAAGAAATTGATAATTAATTCATTTTTTTTTAAAACATAGAGATAAAATAATAAATAAACGTTAATGTATTTGATTGATAAAAGTAAAAAATCGTTTTCTTTATATAGTTACATCGAGAAAATAATCATGGGTTTTACAATGTTCTCAGTTTTCTTATTGGATAGTAGAAACAATTTTTCAAACATCCGATCGTATTGTGAAATTCATGATAGAATATTTTCCTATTATGAACGTTATACTAACCTCAAACCAATAAATATTATTTTAAGATATGAAAAAAAAACTCTAGATGAAATGAGAAAAAAAACTTGACGCAGAATAATGCCACGAAGAAATTTATTTGATTTTTTATTTCATGATTCATCGATTTTTCTCTTACAGTACTATATTCTTCAGGTATTACTACTCAATTGGTAATGAATAGATAAACTCAACTATTTGGCCAATCTTGAAAAAAATGAGTAGATGGTGCTGACAATCGAAAGAAATGAAAAATATTGTCTACAATGTTTTAATATGTCTGTTTAACAGACTCATTTATTTGTTCAGTTACATACGAGAAGATCGTCTTATAACAAAATCGTTGTGGTGTTATACTGAACAGACCAAAGAAGTATGTTATTAAAAGCATTCTTACGAAAATTTCGTGTATTTATGTTTGCGCATAGGATTAAACGTTTGTGAGATGAGAATAGATAGACTTTTTTTTTTTAATTTCTTAGTACTGAAAAGTTAACATTTTCAATAGATTTAAGATTATATGTCTGTATTCCTGAGGAAAGCGAGAACGATGTCTTTTTCATTGAGAACGAGTGTTAAAACGAAATTTACGAACAGTGCAGAAATAATGAGGCATTGTTATTATCAATTTTTTGCTGTCTTAGGTAACCAATGGAAATTTTAGGAAAAAAGACTCATTCGATAGAGGATTCAAATCGCTAGAAACCTTGCGATTAGAAATTTGCAAAACTCAATTATCTCCTGAACTGTATTCAAAATACACATAGATGTGAATTTCAAGCTACACCAATGCCCTTTTCGTCTTGTTCGTAGACGATATCAGTTGCTATTATGAGTGAATGTATTCAATATGATTATTTTGTTGTTGATGTAACTCTCTACCCATGATAGCGCGACCTACCATGGCTTAGTAGGCTGAACTGGAAAAACAACAGGCTAGGCTAAAATTGGACTATCGGTCTGTTGCCTGGGCTACAGGCACATGCTAAACTCAAATACTACAATCACTTAATTCATAGTCTTGTCGTCTGAAAAGAAGTTAAACTGCATTTATAACTAGTTTTCCTTCTGTTCTCTCTTTCATTTTTGTTCTGTCTATTATAACCCTCGTCAAACGTCTTGTGCTATGGATATATCTTCAGACAAAACTGGAAGTCTTGTTGCCAACTCAAGCGTGTGAAATCTACTTGGATGTTGAAGATCTTTTCTTTCCTAACGTTTTAGCTATTTCTTCGATGTAAATGTCACTTGTCATTAACTGTTTAACGTACAGAATGTAATTGTATTCTAGTTGATCATTCCAAGAATGTTCATTCGTACGATTTTCATGCGTTCAGCATAGGTCAAGAACGCAAAAATAACTTTGTCTCAGGAATTCACTTTAAAGTTGTTTCAATCATTTGATTTTAAAATTCTTCGAAATACAACTCAGTCAACAAAATAGTCATGATTATCATCTGTAATGCTTGCAAATTAGATTTGAAGAAAATGGTCGAAGTTATGCATGTTCAAGTGCATTATTTGTTGAATGACTGTTAGGTATAATTGAGATTTTATTGGAAATAAAGCAACTAATATCTCTTGATGAGCTATAGAAAAAAAAAACAGTGACTGCACTGAAGTAAAAATCTGAATCGACTGCTGCGAAAGCGATAGAATAACATGAACTATTTTATATCATTTCAATTCTAATTTCTTTGGATGAATTGAATATATCATAAAAACGATACTCTAGCAATGGATTATTAAAAGTTTTGTTAAAAATTTTAAAAAAAGTCCTCATCTGCCGAATCGTTGATCAGAAAAAATTGAACTGAGTTGTTATTTCGAAATCATCTTATCTAGACATTTTCAGACTTGGCCAAGATAATTTTTTAGTCAAGTTAAATTTGTTCTAATTTATCTCCGCCTTCTCTTTTTGTTCCTATTTAAAAGACATATTTTTGAGTCTGATATTGTAAAATCCTTGCCTAAATGTCGGTAAACTTCACTTTATAAAGTGATAGTTTTACTTAGTATACAAATGTGAGCTTTTATTTAACTTATCTGTAGTCAATTTCGTTTTTCAATACCAAATTTTAAGAAATGTATTTTAGAATGTTGGCGAAAAATTTGTCTTGTCAGTTAACGAACGCCAGAAAATTGCGTTTAAATGCATTAAAAAATGCACGTGTCTGAACGTACAGAAAACGTGTTCGAACAGTTTCTAGGTGGTATGTTAAACTGAACAAATGGCTCGTAATGAAAGTAAACATGCATCTCAACCTCCAAACAGCTCTTTTGCAGAATGTTAGCGTTGGAATGCTGTCGTATACAATCATTTTTTCATGGGTAGTATATTAAACAATGTAATTAAATTATATGTCAGGACTCTTTTAGGTAAAATTTTAATATTTGCAAAAAAACATATTTTCATTTTGAAAATAGTTCATTAAGAATCATTGTAAATTGTCTTGAGCAAGCATTTTATAATAAGCTCCACGTCTTTGTGTTAACTCTGTATGAGTACCACTTTCCACTATATGTCCTCTATCAACTACACAAATCAAATCACATGTACGAATAGTTGAAAGACGATGAGCAATAATGAGTGATGTTCGACTAGGATCTTCCGTTTGAGCTTGTTCAAGAGCTTCTTGTACAATCTATAATTGAAAAATGAAGATGAACCTTTAATTGATGAAACCAAGAACAAATAAACTTACTTGTTCATTATGTGAATCCATGGCACTTGTAGCTTCATCCAAGAGCAATACTTTAGGTCGACGAAGAAGAACTCGAGCAATAGCAATACGTTGTTTCTCACCACCTGACAAAAAACTACCTTTCAATCCTACTTTTGTTTCATAGCCCTAAAAAAAAGTTATCATACAATTGTAATAGATATATTATACAGTTTTGTATTGTTTAACCTGAGGTAACTGTTCAATAAATTCATGAACATTAGCTCTAGTTGCTGCATCGATAATGTCTTCCATTGGAATATTTTCTAAGCCATATGCTATATTTTCAGCAATTGTTAAATCGAATAAAACTGGTTCTTGACTAACAAGACCAAAATGAGAACGAACCCATTGTAGATTTAGTTGTCGAATATCAATACCATCAAGAAGCTAGGTTGAGTAGACAAATTTTTTATATATCTACTTAAACTATACGTTAAAGAAATACTAACTATATTACCACTTGTAACATCATAGAATCGTTCCAAAAGTTGAATAATTGTTGATTTTCCACAACCGGATCCGCCTGTACTAATCATATTATGTTAGTAACATTTAAAAGAAATATTTAATTCAAACATACCAACAAGAGCCACATGTTTACCTTATCAATGAATAAAAATTGAAAACTAATGACTAAATAAAAACTTATTACACTTACTTGGATTGATATTCAATTGAAATTTGTTAAGAACAACAGATGTTGGTCGAGTTGGATAAATGAATTTGACTTGATCAAATTTGATTTCTCCACGAAAATCAACCTATGAAAATAATATTATATCCATGACATATACATTAATTAAAAGAAAATAGTTTTCTCTCTATGTTCTCTTACTATTTTTTGTCCCTCAGTAGATGTATTGTCTATAGCTGGTTTTCGATCAAATAAATCAAAAAATGCTTCAGCAGCTGAGATAGATGCACCAATACGGCCAGATCTAGAATGAAGGCAGTAGAAGGAAAACCAATCAAAGTAACGAGAAAGAATGTTACATCATTCCGAGGACTTTTAATGCTTGTATTGTAAAAACAGCAAAAGCAAAGACCCTAATGAGTTGAAAAAATAATGAAATATTGTCTCGAAATGATCAACTATCGTTTCAATTACGTTATAATATGGCTCGACGTCAGTTCGTTGTTTTCAATAAGAATGAGAGCACGCCAATATAGAAAGCCCAAAGCGAACACATCTAGTGTCCAGAATATACTAAATGCCATTGAAGATAGTATCAAAGGTTTCCAAGACGATCTATGACAAAACAAGAATAATTAAAAATTTATACATATATACAATTCAATTGACTTACATAAATAATTGACGAGCAAGTTCAGAATATTGTCGTAATACTTCCTTTTCTATTGACAACTGTTTTATTGTACGCATATTGTGAATAACTTCAACAGCAAGCTATAGAAAATAAAAGAGAGAATGTATAGAGGGTGTCCAGAAAGTCATCAGTCAAAGAAAAATTTGAACATCTTCACTGTATTTCAATGAAATGAATTGATTTTCTTTCTAAGAACAAAGGATAGTTTCAAGTTTTTATTCATCCATGAACAGTACTTTCATGCACATTAAGCCAGCAAATCTTAGTGCACTATATTATAAGAAACAGCTTTGGTGAATATTTTGTAAATAGTTCTGCTATTGTGACCGCTAATTTTAACCATTGTTGTGTAACGTTTTCACAATTACTTGGAAAATGAAGGATAATTTCTTTCATAATAGTGTTGTTGTATTATATATCAGCTATACTGCTTGGCAAGTACATAAAAGAATATCCTACAATTTTGGCTTATAACTATGGGTAAAAAACGGTTTGTTCGTTGCTTAGTTTAGTGATATCGCGATCAAACGTTTGCTACATTTGTGTGTGTAAATAAAGATATTCAAAATTTTCTTTGGCTAATGATTTTCTGAACACCCTATATAGTATATATGGGTTTGTCACACAACTCATGATAAAAGATTTCTTCCTCCAAAAATCGGTTATTAGCTAAAAAACTGATCTTACTGTGCTTGCTCGATAGATCATGCGATCAAATTGCTGATTTCGCCATAGACGTAAGCATACTTCGCCATAGGCGACTAAGCATAGGATAAACAGAGAACCAAAAATGATCAATGTTAATTGCCAACTTATGAAACATCCAAAGAGTATTCCAAAAAATGACAGAGACAGAACTTCCAAGATAACACCTAATCGTGTACCAGTCATCTCTTGAATTGCTGATGCATCAGAAGAAAGACGAGTACAAATGGCACCGGAACTATTTTCACGTCGATCGAAATAAGCAACTTCTTGACGAAGAAGACATGCAAAAGCTTTCGAACGAATACGTTGTGTCAATTTTGATCCTGCTATGGCGAAAGCTGTATACTATAGAAAAAAGTAAATAAATCATCGATTGAACTTAGAAGTAGCATATTTACTTGAAAGAAACGAAGAATAAATAGAATAGAGCCCAAAAGTAAAAAAAGAAAACTCGTCAACAACACGTGATGACGTCGTTCAGAAGCTAAACAATATTTGAGTGCCTATATAATAAATAAATTGACAAGAAATTATGAATATTGTTAAGCTTTTTCCACAATATTTCCATGAATGAATCACTCACCTCAACTATTTCGACAAGTAAAAATGCGAACAATGGCTGAGCTGCTCCATTAAGCAAACACGCCATACAACCAATTAAGATCGTCATCCATTCAGGTTTATTCATTGACAAAAGTCTTGAAAAGACAAATTTTCGTCTGAATGACTTTGTACTTGGCTAAAAGAGAGACTATCAATAATGTTTTTTTTTTATAAATAATTGTCGTTATATCTGTACTTTGTTCATATCATCGGTTTGACTATCGCTAATTAAACGAGAGTGCTCACCTATTCAAGAGAAAACACAAAGAAATGAGAAGACTAACTATAAGAATATGAACATACGTATTGAATTTTCATCTTCTTCTGTTGCTTTTTGAATGCTCATCATATCATCTTGATCATCATAGATTTTTTCCATTTGTTGACGTTTGACCATTAGTTGATATTTACCTCCTTCTATTGCCATCAATGCTTCATGTGTACCTTGTTCAACTACACTTCCTTTATCTAACACATATATTTGATGAGCATTTTGAATTGTAGTTAAGCGATGAGCAATTACAATAGTTGTGCGACCTATACAAAATATGATATCAATAGTATAAGCAGAAAAAATTTATTGCTACCATTGCATGCTCGATCGAGTGCTTCTTGAACAATTTTTTCGCTAACATTATCAAGTGCACTTGTTGCTTCATCCAATAAAAGAAATGTAGGCTGTTTGACAAGAGCACGAGCCAATGCAATACGTTGCTTTTCACCACCACTCAACTGTACACCACGCTCACCAACAGGTGTTTCATATTTCTAAATAAGAAATAATGATACATGTATATATATATATACAGATAAGGATGAATATTTGACACAAACATCTGGTAATTGCATGATGAAATTATGTGCATTTGCTTCTCGTGCTGCTTGTTCAATTTCTTCTCGTGTTGCCTTTACTCTGCCAAAACGAATATTTTCATAAATAGTCATATCAAACAAAATCTGTTACAATAGTAAATTAAATGGAAAGGGGAAAAAGAAAAAGGAAAATAAAGCATACAGGTTCTTGACTAACAACTCCAACGTTTTCTCGAAGATGTTTGACATTATAGTCTGTTATCGGTTGACCATTGATCGTTATTTGACCCGATGAAGGTTCATAGAAACGAAGAAATAATGACATACATGTACTTTTTCCTATACATAAATAATGAATATAAATGAGATTATTTTAACTTTTTTGTTTTCGAAAAGACTTACCACATCCACTTGAACCTACAAGAGCTGTTGTCTGACCAGCACGAGCAATGAGAGAGAGATTACGTAGAATTGGTGCTTCTTTTCGAGATGGATAAATAAAGTTGACATTGTCAAATTCAATATCACCATTGATATTATAAATCGATTGTGTATCATCTTTCCATACATCTGCTTCATTGATACTTCGGTCACTTTCCTATGTCATGTAAATAAATGGAAAACATTACCATCATTATGAAGTCTCAATTGATTCGAACTTACCTCGTCAATAAGTCGAAAGACTGCTGCTGCTGCACCTCGGGCTTCTGCAAATGATTGAAAAAATGGACCAATAAAACTGAACAAACTCAAGCAATCTGTGAAGATGAACACGACCTGCATGAAGATAGTAGTACTTTGTTCATTCACATAATGATTGATTATATGAATTACTCACCACAAGAATATCACTAATATCTGAACTATGATGAGCTCTGTCTGACATGAAAAGAGAACCAAAGATAAAACCAACCGAATAAACTAGATAAGTTATCAGTGATAGCATTCCTGTAAAAACCCCAAACATTGCGCCTTGCCTTATACTACTCCAACGAGTAGGACGCAATGCTCTTTCATATCTAAATAGAATAAAAATAGAAGAACATATTTTATAATATCAAATAGACAAATTATTTTTGTATATTTTGTTTACCGTTTCTGTTCAAATTTGCTGCCATTCAACGAGAGAACAGTTCTAAGTGAACTAAACACTTCCAGGACAATTTGTCCCGCTTTTGAGTATGTCATTAATTCATTCATTGTTTCTTTAGCAGAAACCTATAACATTTTATACAGATTAATGAATTGAATAATATTTCATACCTTAGAGAACACAAAGGAACTACCTGCGACTAAAGGTACTAAACAAAGCATGACCAAAGTCAATTCCCAATTAACAGCCAAAGCTGCTATAAAACAAACAATAATACAGAGTATCATTGCCATCAAAACTAACAGTTCTAAACCAAGACCTTTATCGATCTTTGCAATGTTACTGTACAAGAATTGAATCAAATGTTGTTATTTCATACACAATAGCACAATGACTTACTCAAATAGCTTAATATTGAATTGCCCAGGCGGTTTAGAATCCATATAAGGAATGTTCTAAAAACAAAAAGAGAGAAATAGTCAGATTTGACTGAATGTCACACTAACTAGATTCCTATTTCTAAAATTCCCTTTCATCTATGTTTTCAGAATTTCCATCTAACTCCAACTTTATGTTTTCCAAAAATTCTACTGCAACTCTGGCTATAAATATTCTTGTTCTACACTGAAGAAAAATATGTCACACGAAACTTAAAAAAACGGATATCTCCTTAATCTGACTCTTCAATCTATATCTATTTCTCTGAATCTACAATGAAACCTGTTTCAAAATAGTGGACAACTCACATTAATTTTATATTAAAAACTGACTAATCACTTTATCATTGATATTAATAAAAAATGGATGAGTGGCATCATATCTAACTGAGAAATATTGAACAGAATAATATTACCCTGACTCTAGCCACTTATCCTCAAGTTTAAGTAAGTCATGTTGTAACAGAAACAATATAAACTTAGCATTAAGATTTCTTCCTCAAAATTGATTTTGAGTCAAGTTCATCCAAGTGGCATGAAACTTTTAGAATATGTTTGGGTTATATTGAGGAGAGGGCACTGTGTTAAAACTTTCAGCTTTATATCATAAGGATTTCGGGAGATATGCATCAAACATGGATCAAAAATAGTTCATTTACTCTTCTGAAATTTTCTCTAGGTCTTCAATCTGTACATTCAATTTATTTTGTTTGAAATAGAATGCTAGGATGTAGTGTTTGTTGAAACCATCTGTTTTTATTCTTACTTTTTTGAAGAGAAGAAAGATGACAACTCGATAACCCAAAAAAAACTCTCGACAAATTTGGAATTTTTTTTCAACCATTTTTGGTGAACTTTTAGGGGTGTCGAACTTGTCATCCTGTTCCTCCTCAAGAAAAGTAAGAATTAAAAAAAAAGGTATTCAGCAGGTGATACATTCTGACATGCTCTTTGAAATAAGGAGATAGTGAGAGTTTGGAGTGACCAAATTATCTATTTCCTATCCTTGTTTGATGCATACCTCCTGGAAATTTTATGATGTAAAGCTAGAGGTGTTAGCATAGCGCTCCACCCCTCCCTTCTCCCCACTACAGCTTCACCATATCGTAAAAGTTTTATGCAATTTGAATGTACTTGACTCAACATCAAATACAAGGAGAGAGAGAAATATAAGCAGTTAATTGACTCATTAACCGTTGACATTAACGAAACATGTTATGCCTGTCCTCTGTGGTTTTTATTATTATTAATTATCAAGTAAAGTTAATTAATATTTACGTTACTTAACTGGCGTTAAAGTTATGAAATATCTCGAATGTTATGTTTCTTTTGGTAAAATATTGAACTGTTCAAGAATTCAACAAAGAGAAAGCTACGATTGCTACATAAGTAAAGCATTTTCTATTGACTAACAATAAACTTTGTAAGGAAAAAGTATGATGTCTGAAAGCAATAATATAATATATGTAATCAATTGTAGAAAGAATATAAATAGAAAAACGGAAGAACGAAGCCACATGAGTCAAGTTCAAGAATAGTGGACATCTGTCCGTATTATAGATGATACAAGGAAAAAGAATAGTCTAGTGCGAAGCCTTTTAACTGAGATACATTTAGAAAGTATGATACAAAACTTTTTCGACTAGGAAAATCTTTAATAGTTTTATATAAAACCTATTACATCTCAGAACCTTATATGTTTCGTAATGCATCTTTTTCATTAGTGCATCCGATCTTAATTTAAAACATTGAATCTTTCTGCGTTTACTTCTGTAATGGCTGTTTCCACTTCCAGAATATTTTAAGTTCACTTGACCAATTGCCAAGTCAGCAGAAATTTAATTGTAATTCATAAAGTTCTATTAACTCCAACTAATGTCTAACTCTAATGTAAGCCAATACTAACTCCACTTCGACTGCTTTCATCACATATTAAGTTTTACTTTAACGAGGATTTAACTAAGAGCACCTCCCCAGATGTCGCCTTTCGACTTCAATGATTTTTTTTTGTCTATAGATATTAGATAGCATTCTAATGGGAACTCTCAAAAGATTTCAGCTCTTATTAAGACTTGGCAATTCTATTGACTGATTAATATATCTATTAGTCCAAGACTTCTATAGGATGTGGGTATGAGTGTGGATCTTCTCTAAATCAATATGCACACCCATCCTTGCGCTAATATTCTGAATTCTTTCGTTCAGATCTAAAAGTTTTGGAAATGCAGAATTCCTTAGCATATGTAACCTTTATCTAAATACTTTTTTTTATTTCGTGGACTTGTTGGATTTAATAATTTACGAATGGTGAAGTGTTTCTTAAAAAGAAAGAGCATAAAATATTAGAATTTCGCAGAAGCACTACGACAAGACTGAAATTTGACTTCGAGGAAACTTTTTCTAGATGGTAGTTTATTTCACTTACGCGTTGAACAAGTGATCGAAATAGAGAAACACTCATACGATATATCTGCCGTTTCATACTAATGCTCCAAAGAAAATTTTTAATGAAGTCAGATAGATATTCGACGATGCCGGCAACTACATAAACAAGAAAAAAAGTCGATGTTCATTATTTGTGATAATCAGATTATCATATTCATTTCACTTACTGAATAACCAGCGAATTAAAGACAAAACTTCTTCTCGAAATGAAGGCGATGATGTAGGTAAACGTGATGATGAAAGTAGAGGAGCATTATCGCGCAGTCTAAGGTGAGAAATTATCAGAGGAAAATAGAAGAAATACATAGTAACTAACAATAGTTTTTTTTTATTTACTTACTTATGCAACAGAGAATTCTTGAATATATTATGATCGATGTCTTGAGAATATGTATTACTGTTGTTTATTGGAGATGTAAAATTGTAGTGTAGATCACCACAATTATCACCAAATGATCTAATAGCAAATACTCCTGTGAGTCGACCAACAATGATTTGATTAGCTAGAATACAAGCTGTCTGTACCAGCATCAAAAATATAGCAGTAAACATCAGGACAAAATCGATACGATTTGCAAACCGAAACTATAATAGAATCGAATACAACAATCAGTTCTGATTTTTTCTGAATGCACTTACTAAATGGAAAATATGAACTGCTTCATCTTTATCATTATGTTCAGTATCATCGTCTAATTTTATATATTTGTTATCGCTCTTTTTTCTGCTGAAAAACCCGTGCCAATCAGAAAAACTAGAAATAATGATAAATTCATTGCATTTTTCTTGCATGTAATTATTTTTTATTAGATCATACCTATTTATCAAAAGTTGTCTCTTGCTTCCACTACTATTATCATCATCATCACCAATAGACAATTTACTGGAATCATTTAATAGAGGTTGTCTATCATTCATTTGACTTTTTTGTTAGGTATGCTATGATGAAGAATATTGAAGAGAAAAATACACAGATAGATATGAAAAAACTAGCTCGTGATAATGAGTTGACTGCTCATGCGTTTCTTTTTTTTTTGTTCGGCTATTTACTAAGCGTTAAAACATGTGCAGTCAAGCAATCATTCAATGATAATGAAATATAATTGCAAGAGCACAGCTAATTTCGTTTTTATATGTATAGATAAAGCACGAATTCTCTCCGCGTCTGGTATACAACACAAATAAATAAAAAATATCAATAGACGCAAATGAAGTAAACTAGCTGATAATTATAAATTGAAAGATGATACCCATGGAAACAAAATTTATAGAAAACAGTGCTATAATACCAACTTTGAAAAAATAAAACGCTATTTTTGCATTTTAAACACATTGGTTTTTGTTGTAACGCGTTTTGGTGCATCTTTATTTATCTGCAAGATGTTTTTCAAATTAGCAGACCACCAAGTAACATTGTTTGAAGGCGTCTATGGGAAGAGCATCTTTTATTCTCAACCAAGGTCATTTAAAAAGTTGTTCAAACGCAACTGAATTCATGTGTGAAAAAAAAACTAAATAAAAATTACACATGTTTGATCGATTACAATAAAAAATTAATAAACCATATCGAAGTCTCAGCAATTAATCTGAAATTGCGCAAAATAACCATTTTCAATCAAATTCCTGTTATTATTAAAGAATACTAATCCACATGTGTTTGTGTAATATTAATTTATAAGATACTTCTTTATGAATATTAAGTCGATTTTATACAAAAGTTATCAAAATAATCGATGAAATTTCGATAATTTTGGTTGCTTTTTAGTTATAATCCATTAAATCTGTATGATTTCAATTGATTTAGAGTTGTTTTACAAACATGATAGAATGCATTTTTTACTTTCTTATTGAAAACGGAGTGTTTTTGTAGACAATTAAAAGAAATACTCACATTTGTATACTGAGTAAAAAATGTCATTTTGTGAAGCGAAGTTTGCTGCTGTTTAGAGAAATACTTTGCAGTATGAGACGCACAAATCTAAAGAGTGTCCCAATATAACTAACGAAAAATTGTCAATAACACTTATCATACTTTTGTTAATGTAGAAAGCTAAAACGTTTATCACAAAAACAAATCTAACTAAATAGATTTATATCTGGAATCTTCCAGATTTAATCACAGATTTTATTTTAAATGTTCATCAATTACGAAAAAAAAAAAATTTCGATGTTTTGTATTGAATTTCGAAAGTCGCAAAACAACATGAGATGTTGTTTCCAGGACTCGCAGCATAATTATTTTATAAATATACAGAACCAGTAGTAAACAATTCTTAATTTCATGGTGTACAGAGAAAATTGAAAATGTGTGGTATATAATGAAAAAAATACGTTGGCGAGAATTGTTTGACACATCACCATAATTACAAAAAAAAATTTCAAAGTAATCAAAGAAAAAGAGGGGGGCATAATAGATCAAATTGACCCACTAGTATTTTTCATGAACAATCCAATTGAGTCATATTTCAATGAGAAGATCATGTTGACATTAGCATGTTGGTACTAATTAGTTTCATGAGATTTTAGTTGAACTTTGAAATCTAAAAGATGGCAGCAAAGTAATGCATTTTAGACCATTATTTTAATAATCAATCATGTCATGGTATACTCAATTTGAGAATAAGTAGACAAAATAAAATACTACTGAAATTATGAATATGACAATTCTTTGATGGGTCTTCAGTTGCATATGTAAATCATCAATTGATTATTTAATTTAACAAGATAGAGGTTCAATTTTACGGTAGACATTGTTAGTATATTTACAATATTTATCATCGACACTTATCTTTCAACAAATATTTTAATTTAAAAGTTGAAATGACCAAAACTGTGATATTACTCATTTGACAGGTCTTTTACAAAAGTACAAAATCATATATTTCCTGAAGTCAAAAACATTTTATCGCCTAAAAAATTTCTAAGTACATTATTCTCCAGGTGCAGTTTTCTGTCTGTTTAATTAATATTTAGGAGATATCGATTAGAAAAATTTCAATTTGAGTTAAAACTAATATGGTATCCGAAGTCCGTCTTAAGGCCAGATCAAAAATAAATTGTATCAGAACACCATTTAAACATTTCAAACAAACCTCGCAAGGTGTTAAAAGTTATTGGATAGCAAAATGAGAGATGTCTAGAAAATGAAAGAAGAGTTTTCATTGATTCATTTTTTATATGATGACCCTTGAAAGAGACCACAAGCAAAGTTTTTGACGAAACAAAGAGTTTCAAAAGTTCTTTAAATCGCATCTAAACAGCCAACCTAAAGTGTTTTTGCTGATTTCGAATAGCATATTAGTTTGGCACAAATTGAATGTTTTTTACCCGCAATCTCGTAAATATTTATTAAACAGATACAAAACTACGCCTGAAGAATTGTGTACTTAGAGATGTTTTAAGTGGCCAAATTTTTTCACTTGAGAAAATATATGCTTTTTTTTACCTTTCTAAAAGGGTAATCAAATGTTAAGACCATTTTCTGACATAAACTTCTTTGGCAGAATCTCTGTTCCTTCATATAAAATTGTTTAGTTTTTGCATCTGATCACTCATAATTTAAGTTGTATTCCACTAAAATACATCTATATATTGAGAACAATTTAACATTTTGTATTTTCTAAATCTATTGTTGAGAATAATCATAAGATTACTTCTACATGTTTATACTCTTCTGTATTATTAATGCATGAAAATACAAGTTAACTTTCAATCTCTTTTAATGTATACCATTTCACATTATCTTCTTTCAAAATCTGAGATCAAATTTAACTGAATACCAATGGGATTTTACGATATATATATATATACTGTTTCATATACAGACAGTATTGGTTTATTTTTAACAAAATTCTTTGGTTTGTGAATTCATTGTGAATCGGGGAGTCAAGTTCATTACGATATTTGATTTCATGTTTTGATCCATCAAAGTTTGTTTCTTACGGAACCGATCTAAAACAAAGAAATTAAAATAGTTTCTTCATCGACTCATATTCATTATTAAACACACTTCCATAGGATGTGGGCGGGAATGACCATTTTTTGTCCCAAACCTTTTTTAACTTTCAATACTCTGAAATGTATCAAGGAGTTATTGGAAGTATTTCATGCTACTTAGTCTTGCATCTTTTCTTACTTAAGGCCCCCTTTGATGACCCCCCCCCTGAGACCCTTTCCTGGGGTCCCCCTCAGGGATCGAAAAAAAATTTTTTTTCAAAAATCTTCAGAAGCATATCATTTATATGCAATTTTGCACGCTGATCACGAATATTGTATTTATATTTCGATTAAGTTGAGTTTTGTACCTGAAAAACGCACTTTACTGCTAAATGAACTATAGTACCATCGCCATATATNTGCTCAACATCTTTAGTTTTTCCTAAGCATCGCAAAGAGGCTAGTAGATCAGCATCCTCTACAACTATCTTAAGGACATGGCCACTGATGAAAAACGATATTCAACGAATCGTCTCTTGTCTCTTTGATGATGTTTTTGAATTATTTTCTATTCATGGTGTAGATAATGCCCTACAGAAAAAAAAAGATACATATATTAACAAATTTAAATAGTTTTGTTTTAGATGGAATAAATATGACATCAAATATAGTTGATGAGTCTACTCCTGAAGACAGCATCTGATCCTGAATATGTTGACATCTTGACTTATGACGACTGAATCAATGAAGAAAGTAACAAACTTGATAACGATTATGGTTCAACTATTTACAAGGTCGACGATGTGGATGTGGGTGTGACTATAACAGCTCGGAATCCGTAGCTGGGCCCGATCCGATGAAAATTTTTGACTGGGCCGGGCGGGTCATCAATTTCGTCAGATCGGACTGACCCGATAAAATTCTAGTTTATTCTTGTGAAATTTTATAAATGCCAACAGCTCGAGTAAAGATTAAAATATTTTTTCGTAGTTACTTCTATCAAACTATTATAATGCAGCACAGTAAACCAGTAACTTTTTAATAGACACAATTTGTTAATCTATTTGCTTAGAATTATTGTATTTGTTAATCTATTTTTATGTTGTCATTTCAATGATTTTATGTCAGTAAGTTCATCAATTGATCTACGGTACGCTTTATAAAAATTTTGCTTCGGACCTGGACCAGACGGGCCGCTTTGGGTCGGGGCGAGTCATAGATAAATGATCCATTTCGATCACACCCTTGCCCACACCCACACCCTTTTACCGGATTTTTCAACAAAATCTCGTACTCCGTCTCAGCTCATGTTGAAAATCGACTTTTGAGTTTCCACTTTAAAAGTTTGCACAAATGTCATTCTCAATGGATCTGGTTAATTCTGATAATTTAAGCTTTTTTCGATGATTCTGTCGTGAGATACTAATATTAGTACAAAATTTGCTTTTTCACACAACAAAATTTTCATTAAATATATATCATGAAAAAAACACCGGAAAAGGTGAAACTTTCACAGTGAATTATTTGTGTTAAGAATATGATTTGTACAAAGTTTCAAGTCATAACACAAAAGTCAACCTTCAAGGAGAAAATCATTCTAGACATTTTCAGCGCTCATCAGCGCTCCTCGAATGAACATAACCTCGATCTAGAAACAGTTACGCATTTGGAGAAGTTCCCTTGTGAATTATCAATGTATCCCGATAAGAACTGCAAAGTAGAGTTCATCTGCGGATTGTGTTTACGGCCAAACAATCGATGTAGAAGTTCTAAAATGTATATACTTGAATTTGTATTCTCTATTGGAAACTTAGTCGATCTGAAAGATAAGTAATTACTGTGTACGTCACTTCGTATGGATCTGAATCGAAGCATATATCTGCGACGTTGTATCTCAATTAGGGCTTAGATTCGCATCTTTCCACATCCATCAAAGTTGGTTGATGGCGTGCTCTATTCGATGGTAAATTCAAATTCAAATTCAAATACAAGTGCTGGGAGAATCGAAGAAAACAATTGCATTATACATGTACGAGTAGGATGTTAGTGCATTTTCAGCAGAAGGAACTTTAAGAGTGTGTTTCTGAGAGATTAAGATATTGATGGTGGAGTAACATCTCATAATTGGCTGATTCCGTGACATGTTGTAGAGGGTGATGGATTTTGTACTTTCTGAAATTTTCAGTTGAATCGGATGTATTTCGGAAGAGAAATCCTCTAAATGGAGATGTTTTTTCTGATTCTAATTTTTTACTTATGTTTTGAAAAAATATATAATTTTCTCGCATAAATCGACCTTTTTTTATTTTGAGCTGAAAGAATTTCAATTTTGGTTTTTTCAGGCATAGTTATTCGTTCATTGTGCTATTGAGGACAAAAATTCAGAAATTTTTATCGAACACATGAATAGTATGGTCTTATACAAGAACAGATGTATCAATATGTTTACTCACTTTTTTCTATGAAAGTGGGCAAAATGTCGATCGGCCATGTTTGATGCCGCAACAACGGAATGCTCTGAAATTTTTATCATAGATAAAACTCGTCAAACTTTACCACCTGTCTTTTGCCTCCAAACACACTGTATTTTTCTCTACTATGAAGAATACATTCGAAAAAGTTTGTGGAGGACGCCATGGAAAATATTGCTGGAAACGAAAATCAATACCTATTATTTTTTCTTACAATCGTACGAATAAGCTTGATACCTACCACAAAAATGGTCGACAATTGATATCCTGAATATTCGTATCTCAGAAGCAGTAAATTGAATCGCCACATGCCAATACTGTAAGTTGTATGTTTGTGAACGTGCGTTCGGTTTATTTAGTAACACTATTAATTCCTCTTTGCTTCGATCTTCCGACTATATTCTTCAAAACAGAAAAGGAAAATACACTCTCCCTTAGAAACGAAAAACAATACAGTTTATATTCTCCTCTTCCAACGCATACTATCTCTCACATTTGGTCACATTCCAACGAAGTTTCTCTTTTTCTCAGAGAGGGATATATTGAAAGAGAAGAGAGGCAAAGAGATACGAAAAAAAGTAAAGAGCACAGTATGTGCCAAGCCAAAAACGATAGAACAATATATTCATCAAAACAAAGAAGAAATAAAACAGTATAGTTAAATGTCTCATGGTCGATGGCCATGACAGAAACAAACTGCAAACAAGAAATTATGACTAAGTAGCCAACACGCAGAAGTGACATGTTAATCAATAGTGTAGTGAAGTTTCGATAGGATGCGTCTAATTATGTGATGATCCCATTTAACTAACACCAAATGGGTCATTTCCTATATAAGTAGTTGCATCAATATTCGTTTGAAATTAGACAATTAGTCAAAGAATATATTGCCTTTGAATAGAAAATATTAAGATATTAATTCCAAAACCAGCGAGAAGGTTAGCTAAGAAAAAGGAGCAAACTATTATCAGAAAAAACACTCATTAGTATTTTGAAGATTTTGGCTCCTGTGTTGGAGGCACCGACCTAGAGATTTCAGACAATACTCGGCATACAATGCTATATGAAATAGTAAACAAATTAGTCAATTATGGACTTTTGTTTTAAAATTGATGTATACTGTTCTTAGACAGTTATACTGTCGATAGCTAAAAAAAGAGAATTGATCATTAAAAGGCCTGTTTTTGATTTGGAAATGGGAAGCTGATTATTACAGACGATAGAGCTTGACGAGTTCTATCTATGGTAAAAATTTCAGAGCATCCGTTGTTGCGGCGTCGAACACGGTTGATCGGCATTTTGGTCACTTTCGTAGCAAAAATTGAGAGAAACATATTAATACATCTGTTCTTGTAGGGTGGGTGTGGGTGTGGGAGGGGTATGGGTGCGGGTGTGGGTATGGCTCTAATATTTGCACCCACACTTACACCTTTTGTGTCAGCTACTGTAAGGAGGTTAGTCACTTGTAATCAGAATCTAGGATGCAGTTAAATGCAGATACATAGCAACTTTAACGCCTGCTAAAACATAGGTTTATATTTCAGAAACAGATTTTGTCGCCTGGCTGCTCACTATGTGTTATCCTCGGTTATAGTTCTTATTGAGGTACTGCACATATAAAACAGGCCTATATAGGAGGGCGAGAGTGACGAACACAGGAAAGAACAAAAGAGATACAATAATAGAGGAAAGATGAACGGAAGATCATCAGAAGGCGATATCAATAGCGGTACACTCTCCCATTTAAGATTAGACGCACTCCACAGCGTTGGTATATTATAGAGTAAAAACAATGGAAAAGAAAAAGGGACAAATAGTGAGGAGAAAAAAAACCTAGAACACAAACAACAGTTGATCATTTGAACTCTGTCAGTCAATAAAAAACGGGACATAAACGACATTGAATAATAAGCTTTGCAACAATCATTTTAATTACATACTTTCAGACATATATGAGATCGCTTAACAATTTACATATCATCCAACAATTTATGGAACGACATAATAAAAGCAATAGCCGAGGGTACACGAAATATTCCGAACGACTTATCTTCACATTTTTAAATGCTCAACTCCTGCATTTCATACAAAACACAATATAAAACAACGATTCAGCACAAACAAAAAATGCAAATATATTCATTTTCACAAGTTTAGTTAGGATATGTAGACAATTTTCACAACACAGAAAAGCCAAAACAATTCTCATCGTATCAGACGTAGCACTTCCACTTCGTAAAACAGAATAACAAAATTTATGCACGCTCATGACAATCACAGAAAAAAATCATTTTGATATCTTTTATCTATATCTTATAATTTTTGGCAGATGATCGATTATTTCTTTTTTGTTAGCAATGCCCATGTGTGAGCTTTCGACATTCACGGATCAATAATCATCAAAAACAGTAAATTGAATGGAACACATATGGTGATAACAAACAAGAAAGAGGTCATTATGGCTTCATAGGTTGTCATTCTGACGATATGCGTATGACTGATGATTAATAAATTTTAATTGCTTACCACCGATATGCAATCATGTTCATAATAATCAACATCAGCTTGTTGTCTTCTTTGTATAGGTGAATAATTAATGTTTTTAGTAATTTCATGTGGAGCATAGCAAGTATAGAACTTGTGTTAATGCAATGAGTTGCCACGCAGTAGAAGCGAAATGCTTCCATGCCATCCTTCTCTCGAATGGCTGGACTGTTCGGTCGCTGGGTCGTTCTCGCAGCTATTAATGCATAAAAATTTTCAATTGCTTTTCTTCATACAATTAATTTTGTCTTAAAAGTTTCTGCCAATGCTTGCCCACCAGAGGTCACCACCACTCGAGCGGATGAGGTGATTTATCTTCATATTAATTCGATTCACACTTGCTATTTTACACACTGTCTAGTAGTTGATTGTCCGACGTGGTTTAATTGACTTATTGATTTCTTTTCATATTGTTGTTGATGCTGATTAAGTGTCGACCTCAACACAATTTGCCGGGAGTTAGTAGTCAGGGTTGCCATGCAACGACATATTGGAGAGAGTAGCTCAATGCCATCTTTGGTTATGATGTTTATTGACCTACTTCACATTTCTAGAAGGCAACTACTTCACACATAACGCACACTTAAATAGGAGAAAGCAAAAGAGAGAGTGAGACAACGATGAACACACGAAATAACAACAGAGATAAGATAAAGACGAAAGAGAAAAGTGAAACGAAAGACTAGTGAAAGATAATATTAATAGCGGTGCACGCATCTACACCCTTCAAACATAAGATTATGAAACTGAAGGAGACAAGAAATATACATTAATGAATGATTACCATTCTGTTTAAGTAACACTAGGTACGAGTGATGTTGAGTATTCCTGTTCTATGGAAAAAATCATTTGTGAGTACCTTTATAATGTTTCACTTTGGCTACGATTTAAGCGGTCAGTAAAATAGATGAAATTGTAAGTAAAAATGTATATATGATCAGTACTAAAAAATGTCAGTAATTAATTCTGAAATGATCAGTTTATTAAAAATAAGTATCAGTAAAAAGTTTCAATTCATATTAGTAAAAAATACACAATTTATCAGTAGAAAAATAACCATAATCGGTAGAAAATAAATATAAATAAATCAAGAAAGAACAGAATAAATAGGTAGCAGTTTAAAGAATAATTGAAGAAAAATAGAAATTCAATTATTGTATTAGTAAAGCAGTTTTAGCCTTTGCTGGTCTACCTTTTTTTCTTTTCTCGTCGATCGGCACTGTCTTTGCTGTTGCTGGTGGTTTACAATACTTTAAACGAATAGCCATATCCACAATGTGTTTGCATATGTAATTCTTTAAAAAAGCTGAGCAGTTGCATTTCAATGTTTTTCAGTGTAAATCATTTTGCTTTTCCATACACCAAATATCAAATGATTATTTGAATTGACCAAAAGTTGTCCATTTCTTATTATATTTAATTAAGTCAACTTGTGTAGTTGATTTTAAGTTACGAGCTGGTATATAATATTTTTTGAAGAATCATTTGGAATGCAAATGATATCTTTTGTTGATGTATCCCATTGATATGATGAAGTCCATAATTCTAAAGATATTTTTGGCTCTGTAGCAAATATTCTTGCATTAGCTAATGATGGATCCCGTTCGATTGACCAATTATTGATAATATTTGAAGAAATTGTTAACAGTCTTGATAAAAAATGACGTTCTCGGAATGTTCCATCGTCTTTGATTGTTTTGTTTGTCGCCTTTAAAGCATTATTTGTACTTGGGGCGTATAATTTTAAACCTTCGTACCAACCATTGTTTGACTTTAGCCATTCAGAATCAAAATAATTCAAAAATCTAATATCGTTTGATTTTTTTTGCTTCATATTCATATTTCATATTTTCATAAATAATATTGATGCTAATTCAAATGCAGCTGTAGAGTTGCATAACTGAAGCAGTTCAATATCATCCATTAATTCTTTTCTAATATGTTTATCATCTACTTGACATAAACGATTTTCAACTTTCCTTTTCATATACACCCAGCACATTATTTCATTATGTGAATTATTAAATTCATTTTAAAAACCATTTTTGATTGAATCTGCAGTATCTGATATTAATGCTGTTGATTTTAATAAAGCTTTATTGATTTCTTGCATACCAATTTGAACACTATTGAAGATAAATTCAAAATCTTTTGTTTTTTCATTTGAACTTTTATACTGATCCTTTAATATACTCGACTGCCAATAAACTGTACTTACTGACTTTTAAGTATATCTACAAGCATAATCAATTAATAACCGACCATTTAAAATAATCTACTGATCAAAAAATAAAACTGATTTTATAATTATTTCATTTATTGGCTGTTTCATTTTTTTACTGACCATAAATCATATTCCCTTTCATTTTTCAAATACCACTGACCAACGAGCAGCTTGCATGGAGACTGCACAAGTTCATTTTCCTTTGATCAGCACAAAAATCAAAGAGAATCGACAAAACTATTAGATGACTGAAAAAAGAGAACTGTATTGGTGGTCTACTCTGATGGCGTCGTCGTCGTCGTCATCGTCGTCGAAGGGTCTTCAATCTCATTTTCTTTTTCGGGGAACGTATGAAGAGGTATACTTTTTCTAGCAGTCACATTTGAAGCCAGTTTTTTTTTCTTTCTTTCTTTGCTCGAATGAATTAAAATGAGATGCAGCGTTCTTTTACTATCTATCAAGTGGGGCAAAAGTGCTGCACATGCATCAACGGCAGCGCTTATTCACTATTTACTTTTTCTTCCATGCTGCTCTTTCAGTTCTTGCGTTCGCTTCTTTTTCACATACTGATTGCTGTTGTTTGTCTGTCACAAGAAAGTTTGCTTTGTTTTTTCCAAGTGATCCAATTGTATTGCTCTTTCTCTCAACGCACACTAAAGGACAAACATCGTCAAGTTTTCTTGAAAATTATTCATCAGCTTCAATCTGCTGTCGGCACGGTGAGCTTCAACTTTCTTCACTCTTCACATGTTGTTATTACTTCATAGAATGATTTTATAATTTATGGAACGCTAAGGTTTTCGGACGAACGCTTTTTTTATTCGAAATAGAATCCTTATTCATCCAGATATCCTTGCAAAACAGGTTATTACTAGCTATGTTTAGGACACCATATTCAAGCCTATAATCAAACAAGATTCCCAAAAAGGCGCATTTAACTGCATAGGACGAACCCGGCAACATTGAAACATGTCTAATTTTCTAGAGTTATGCGTTTTCATCCCTTTTCATGATGATTCTTACCACTTTTACTGAGTTCAAAGACAGAAATGTTTAGTTCCAGCGGCAGTGTGTACAACTGAAATCTCTTTGTAACAACACCCACACCCACAACCTACATCAATACATCCTCACCAACACCCAAGACCCACACCCACACCCCACATGAATAATCAATGTTGACTGAACGGAAACGATTGAAACATAACGGTCTATATGTGCTCTCTGTTAATGTTAAGACACCTTTATTTTTATTGCGTTGATGGTGGAGAAATCTTTGTATTTCTCTCTGCATCCTCTAATTTGGTAATACTAGACAAATGCATAGATTATATGTCAAAACTAAGAATATTTTATCTCATTCTTTCTCCTCTGGCACAGTGAAGTTACTTTCGTACATTTTGCAATCATCGATATTTCTAACTAATTTAATAATTTACTGACTTTGTTGTAATAAATCGTTAGAGAGTTTTACAACATACTGGAGATAACATATCCTTATCAGAGAAGCAAATAAAAATATAAATTTCATGATGAAGACATTAAAATAAAGAAACGCATTTTTATGCTTTATTTGTCTGATATCAGTTGACAGTGTGTTTTAAGGTGTCAGGAGTCGCCATTGCTTTAGAACAGTTCAGTGTATTGAGTATCCTGATTTTGAATGATTTTGATATTGTTCCATCACCATTCTCAGAATGTATTTCAAGTTTGTAAATGTTTGTTTCAATGACACAATCGTTTGTGTGCATGCTTACATGTATAGTTTTTCGTTTTGTGTACTCAAAAAGTGAGTACACTATAGAATCGGTCAGTGTGTCCGGCCGTTTACACCATATCTCTTGAGAATATGAACCGATTGTCATGAAACTTTGTGTATAGAATTGTCTCATTGATATCTGGATCGAGTTCGAAGATGAGAATGATTCGCCAAGAAATTGCTGAGTTATCCCAAAAAATGTCGTTATTTCCTATGCTTTTCTATGCGAAAATTGACCTATCCCGGTTTTCGTAAAAACTTTTCTCTCATAATTAAAAAAAACCTCAACTACGTATTATATATCATAAGATAGAGAATTTAACGCGCTAGAAAATAGTATATAAAACATTAAGAAACAAGAAGGCTAAGTCATCTGTTGCAAAGATACTTAAACGGAAATTGCTTTTGTGTTTGTCCACGCTCTGATTGGTCGAAAATGAAAGCCCCGTTTTCCGATCAGAGAAGCGATACTTCGAGGTTTTATCAAACTTGAACAAAGGTTTTCTGGGGCGAATAACTTGAATCTGAGCTCCACTTGCCTTAAAATCCTATTGGTTGACCAGTAACCAATAGAAATCGAGTTTTAGGAGAAACGGCTTGCTGGGATAAACTTGATGTTTAGACATGCTATCATGACTCGTTTTTAGACAGTTTGATCAAAATGAATCTGTCGCCAATTATTCTTACTTTTTGAAGTACACATAACACTCGGATGTAAATCCGATGTTTCCACCTTTATTTTTAGTTCTATTTGGTTCATCTTCAGATTATTTTTGTTAGCTTTCTCATTAATTTGAGTTGACCGTCCATTCAATCATCTACTCTTCGTATGACATTGTCATTTTGTGGAATTCAAAGATATTGTTGAAGAAAATAGTGAGCATAAGTTTTAAGTTGAAGTTTCGCGGCTTACCTTCCACATTACAGATACTTAGCAATCGGAGTGCTCCTCCATCCCTTCACTATTACGGACTCTTTCCTGTGGCACCGAGTTAAGTGAATCTCCCTAGTTAAGGAAAACAGTATGAAATAAATCAAGACCACTGGAGAGTCATAATGGTGAACCAGTGGATGTAAGTGTGGATGCGGGCATGATTAAAGAGAAATTTACACCCACACCCCATGCCCTCTCTTTTCAGAATATTCATACGTCATTAGAAACTGCATGATGTGCGTAGTCTCGAATCAACAGTAATTTAACAGTCCGCTGCCTTTCCTCGTTCGTGTCAAAATTTAATTTCTATCTTGCAGATTGCACTAGTTTCTGTAAGTGATTTTATGAGTCTCTTTAAAAATTATACAAGATCTGAATGATTTATCAGTCCGAAAATAGCTTTAATGAAGTCTTTAGAAATATTGATGACTTTATTATTACGGGAAAGGACTATTTCTTTTATTGAAAAAGATGGAAATCAACACAAGTTTCTTGAAAATTTGTGAAAATGTCCATCTTCGGTATTCTAATGCTTTGATTATTCATAAAGGAATATTGATCATCTTCTGTATTTAGAAGAAGTACTTCGAGATTTTTTTTAAGGTGACGCTTTTGATTATGGGATCAAAAGCCCAATAGCGTCAAAGACTGCCATGAGCACAAATTTTGCAAGGAGCTGTACCAATTTTATCTTATTTTTTTAGAAATAACAGCCATTTGCCTGAATAATCAAGCCTTCTATCCTTCTGAGAATTCTAGTAGAGCTAGTTTTGGGATGATAATTATTTAAATCTTGTATGATTAAAAGAAAGACTGATAAAATTACTCGCATAGCCCAATATAAAATCCTCGAAAAAGAAGGATTTTGAAAGCAACGTATTCTGAGTTTATTTGTGTCACCTGATCTAAACAAATTACGTATGCTGTTTCGTTTAACTCAAAATGCAAGTCTGTAGAGAATTAAGCAAGAAGTCAATAAAAAAACTTGTCACATTACGTTGAAAGACTGCTGATAAGCAAAGAAAACACTGAGAGGTTCATACTTGACGGGCCACGCGTCATATCAAAAGGATAGAGAAAGTATATGATGCGTTGCTTGTTTTGCAGCAATATATAAAATACTCATATCTTACGAGGGACCATTTTCAACTAATAAATCGCTTTTGAGTTCGGACTCTGTGCATAAGGTAGACCCCAGCGAGGTATGAAAAATTCCAATAGGATAAGTGCCATTAGGCTTTCTGTTCAGAGTTAAAATCATTTTACTGGAATTTTAGCCGATGATATGATATATACCAACAAATCGAATGACAGTATTTCGACCTGTGATTTTGCCCACGAACAGATCTATTTATAACTAGAATATCTTGAAAATTTCAGCTCAAAAGCATTTTTCCTTTCCGAGATATTAAAGTTCCAAAAAGCAGAAAATTCTAGCGTCGTTGTGAGATATGAGTGATTTTTGGGACTTTAATATCTCAGGAAGAAAATATTCTTTTGAGCTGAGATTTTCAGGGTATTCTACTCACAAATAGA